CTTACGCACAATCTACTTGTAATCTTGAGTTTTAAGTAATATGCATTAATAAACAGTACTTTACGCATAAAAAGTAGTTTTTAAGAGTTTTTGTCAAATACTTTATAATATAGTATAGATATATGTGTGTGTGTATACTATGAGGTGTAATTAGAACGACATTTAATAATTGTGATCTGGTATTACGAGAAAGGACTTATAACAGAGTATATGAGGATATTTGTATAGTAGATAACATCAAATAAGAAGCAACAGGATAACATCAAATAAGAAGCAACAGAAAAAGGATGAAAGTTAGAAGTATTATATTTAAGAACACGGTATTTCTAAGTTATAAGTTGAGAAACTTCAAAAAATGGAAATACCCTTGGTGTGTGTTTGTTGAACTTTTCATCATGGACGAGACGCTACATGGGAAATAGAATAAGAAAATGAGAAATAAAACCCGTAACTATACAAGTAGGATTAATTCAATTTTAATGACAAAATTCTTGCAAGAAGCGGAAAATTGTAACACCCCGTTTTCATTATTAAGATATTTTATCCGGTATGAAGATGTTTACATCGGATATAAAAACTAAGGGACCGTTTACAAAACGCTTACTTGATAAGTGCTTATCGAATAAAGTTTCTTATCGAATGAACATGACAAGGGCCAAGAATCTTATCGGGCAAGAGCGATGAGAATGATGAAGAGTCTTACCCGGTAGTGAAGATTATGACTCTTACCCTGGTAAGCGCTTACGGGGTAAATTGTTGCATTCAATACGTTTTAATGTACTAAAATCTTACTCATCAAAATAAATTATTGTATTGACTCCTATAGATAAGTATTTGGGTAAACAGCCCCTAAACTTTTAATATCAAATATTGATATCATTCGAAAAAGGGTATTTCGAAGATTTAGAAAATATCTTTGTTAGAAACAAAGAAGAGAAAAATGTATCCAATTAATATTTATAGAGATGAAAATACGTAATATAAATAAAAAAAGATATATAATTTATTATATTATTATATATGTATGTAAATCGTGTGTATATATTAGTAATATGACTAATATTACGTTAATTATCTGGTAGTATGGATTTTTATGTAATACGACTGTTACGTTTTTTATATCAGTGATCATATGAAACTTTTATATTTGAAGACTGACAAAGTTTTATTTATAGGTCTGATTCGATATTAAGTATCGTTTTATTTTGATGATTGACAAACACAAAACCCGACTTTATTTGTGTTCTAACAATTTAGTTCTTATTATGTAAGAGTTGACTATTAACATACAAGAATTTGACGAAATGCTTCTATAATTGCCAAATCTACAAAAAAGGGACTCGCTCATCTCCGATCTTCACCAAAATTTTATTTCTAGAAGTGAACCGACAAGAATTTATTGAAGATTTAAACCCAAACCATTTCCGGAAATTATATCTTGTTCGGATTATTACACGGTAAACATTCCCGACAATAACCATTAAAATTAATCCTCATTATAAAACAACGGAATTATATCACTGACGGAAGTATTCAACGGTAATCCGTTGCTAGAAGCCGGATCCACCTATTAAAAAAGTCAATGCGAACATCCATCTGATCCAGCATAATGAGGACGTCTACAAAGCTTTGAATTTTCAAAATCTTTGTATAATGCAAAGGTAACTAGTACAAAAAGCCACATAGGAAACCAATAATTTTAATAATTTGAGTTAAAATTTTAATTAGAGGAACTCCGGTGAACATTATTTCGGCCGGTACCAAGTAATCACAAAGATACACAATGTGATATCACTAAAATACCATTGTGATAACAACTTGAACTATGATACCAACCCAAAAACCTTAAAAACAAACCAAAAACATGGTACATAATATATAAATTTAAGAGATGCATACAGACAATCAACGTTGTGATACCAAAAATACATACAAGATGCACTGTGATACCGAATGCAGTATCAATTGGGGTACCAACTGTGATACCATTCACACCAACTATATTACCACTGTGATACCAAACCTTAATACACAAAATCTTCGATATCTAGCCAACGATTTTACCAAAAAGAAACATTGCAGACAAGAATCATCCATGTGTTCAATTTCTCAGATCTAATATCGATGGACATGGAGAGATGCATAACTTTGATATTTGGATGTTTTCAGATCTGATTCCAAAGAAGATGGAGATCTAGATTCTTTGAAGATCTCGATCAGATGTCGGCTCCTTCTTGGCCAACGACCCACAAGAATCATCCATGTGTTTGAGTTTCAACGCAGATCGGAGAAAAGGCATGGATCGATAGTGAAACCCCCTCTATAGTTGAACCCCAGCCAATGAAACCCCTTGTCATTGAACCCCATTCAACCTGATGAAGTTTTGGTCCTTCTGAGATTCCGTTCACGTAGGCGATATCAAAGATGTAAACAAGGACGATGCTTGATTTTGGATCGAAGCAAGTCTCTTTTAGCCCGTCCCTTGTTATTGTCATTACAGATAATATCTCAATCTTTGTCATATTCATTCAATAACCCAGTAAGTAATCACTTATTGAATAAACGTCTAATAAACAGCTCCCAAACTTCACGTATACAAAAACCATCCACAATCATCTTTGATATATCGATGAAACTCAAAATTTACAATCCCTTTTTGTTTTTTATATAATATTTATGTACGTGAACTTTGTACTCTTAACCTCGAAAGAAGTTAAGAAGATATCACTAGACCAACGATCCTTTATAAATGTATTTTCATTAAGCACAAAGGAACTGCTTATGAAGCTTGAACCGAAGATCGATCTCTAAGTAAAGCCTCAGCAGCCTTCCTTCCCGATACCAAAGCCCCATCGAACGTAGCACTTGTTCGATAATCCCCACACACGTACAACCCTCGCTCGACCTTTGGGTTCTTCCTTAAATCCGTAGGGGGGCATTGGTTCGGTTGCGCAAATTTAACGCGATAAGTTCTAAGGTGGGTCCAGGACCCTACCACTTCTTTCCCGAACCAGCTACTAAGCTCCTCGACCACGTTCGACTTTAGGTCCTCATCAGATGCGTCCGCGTGCAACCCGATAAGGGAAACCGACACCAGGACTTTGCCGGGTGGGCCGTATGAAGGAGCCACATTCGTTGCGAAGAACATGTTGTTCACGATGCCATTACCTGATCCATTGATGAACAGCACTGGATCTTGGATCGGAACTTCGCTTCGATTGGCCGAGAAATACAAGCAGACGGTGCTTCGAATTGGCTTTTTTATCTGAGCAGGAAAACCATTTGATTTTCCCGCCAAAAGCTTAACGGCTTCGGGTTCTTCAACTGCAACTATCACTCCGTAATCAGCATTCAAGACCTCACCGTTATTCAATCTCACAGTGTAAGTTGATTCCGATTTTGATTCTGATTCTTGCTTGTCGATGGAAGCTACTGGTGTGTTGAGAATAATCGAATCGGAAGGCAATTTTGCCGCAAGTTGTTCAGGAATTGCAGAGATTCCTTTGGCCGGAAGAGTGTTGTCGCCGAGAGCTAAACACTTGAAGATGAAATCAAACAGCCTCGAAGTCGTTTCAAGGTCTCTGTCAAAAAAAATTCCACCGAAAAATGGTCTGAAGAATCTATCAACGATCGAATCAGAAAATCCGATTCGTTTGAGCAAATCACTGGTGGAGGTCTCTTCGGCGGAGAAAATTTGATCATCCGATTGAGTCAAAACCCTAATTCTAGTCAAAGCGATAAGAGATTTGTCAACGACTGTTCCGATTGGGTTCGTTAGTGATTGGATAGCGTCGGCCAGGTGGCGTAAGGGATCAGCCACGGTATGAAAGCCTCCGCCGTAGTAAACCTTAGCTCCGGAGTAGAATTTTCGAAGATCTAGGGATTCATAGTCGAGTATTTTTCGGGCTTCAGGGTAGCCGGTGATGAAGATCTGGAAGCCGCGGTCGAGGAGGAAACCATCGACATTGTCGGTGCGAACACGACCTCCGACGGCATCAGAAGCTTCAACAAGGAGGAATGGAATGTTATCGGAATGGAGACGTACAGCGGCGGCTAAGCCAGCTAGACCGGCGCCGACGACGATAACTCCGGTCTTGTTGAGGTTTGGTTGTAAAGTTGGTGATGGAGGAGTTGTTAGAGAAAGCTGAGCGGAAATTTTGATCGGAGATAGGGGTAGGTGGTGACGGCGGCGACGGTGGTGGAAGGTGTGGTGAGGAACGAAGGAGAGATTAGAGGAGGAAAGAAAAGAGTGAGCGGTGATTGCCATTGTGTCATCTTGATTGGGTGGCACATACGGTCTGAGTTTTGTTGAAGAGGCTTATCCAATCTCATTGGCTCATTACTCATTTATAACGTTTGGGATAATTTATAAAAACAATTTATTAATTTATTTTAGTATGGCACCGATCATAAACATTTTTGAATATTTGGATAAACAATTTATACCGGTGTCAAACCGGTAATAAGAAGTTTTTGAAGAAGTTAAACCCTTCTGACTTATAATAAGTTGGTAAGTGTTTTTGTAAAAAAAAAAATAAGTTGTTTTAAATAAGCAATCCCAAACACTCGCTAAGATGTGAGAACACTTCTAAACCTTCAAATTTTATGCAAATAAATTTAGCATGCCCAACTTGCTAGTCAAGAAGTTTAATCTCTTTTCGTCCAGTGGTTCAGTAAAGAAAGCAACAAGTTGGTAATCTGAATACCAAAATACATTTCAAATCTTCAATATGGTATTTGATATTAATAGGTTTGGTTCTAAAAAGATGTATTGGATTTGCTGTGATGATAATTATAATCTCTAAAGGACAATAGATAGGAACTCTCCGAAATAACAGTCCATAATCTTGTAGTTGAGTTTTCATCCAGATGATTTATGAATAATAACTTGTTGAAGCTACATATTCCACTTCTGCATACTACAGTTGAAGTTAAGACATAATTTTGCTTTTTTGAAGTCTAACTCACTAGCTTGTCACATAACATTGGATAACTTTCATAAATGCTTGTTTTGTCTAGTTTACATTCAGCATGATCTGCATCTATATATGTTATTAGCTCAAAACCAGAATCTTTAGGATACTAAAGCCCCAATGACGGTATGCCTTTAGTATGCCTAAGGATTCTTTTAACTGCAGCTATTTGAGATACTTTAGGATATACTTGATAACTATCACAAAAACATGTTGAAAACATGATATCTAGTCTATTTATAGTCAGATATAAGAGTGAACCCATCATACCTCTATAGGGTTTTTAACATCCATTTGTTTCCATGTGGATCAAAATCTAAGTTAATGTAAAGGCCATAGGTGATTAAATCATCTTAATATCTAATACATATAGATTACTTATGTCTATCATGCTTTTGCTTTTGTTGTGTTAAGGGCTTTGTTAGTGGATCAACAACATTGTTGTCAATGTGTACTTTGCAGATTCTCACATCACGTCTCTATATTATATCTTGGATGAGATGATATTTTCCAGGGATGTGTTTAGATTTCTGGTGAGAGCAGGGTTCTTTTGCTTAAGCAATGGGGCCAATGTTGTCACAATCCAACTATATTGAGTCCAGTGGCGGATCCAGGAAATTAATGAGGTGGGGGCACGTTAGATGGGACTTGGGGGCAAGCATATGGCCATATGGGACTAGGAGAAACCATGTAAGACGAGAGTAAAAATAGAAAGTTTAAACTAGTCAACAAACGTTTTTGGTCTTTGACTGGGGGCCTTTCCCCTCAGTCCTTAAGGGTGCGTTTGGTGCGCAGACAGGACAGGACAGGACAGGACGGGACAGGACAGGACAGGACAGCTGTTCAGCGTTTGGTAAGACAGGACAGGACAGGATAGAACTGGTTAAAATGACCAATTTACCCCCAGTGAGCTGTTTAGTGTTTTTTCACTACGAAATGCATTCTGGTAACACTGGTCCTACTACCACTACAGCCCTAATAATTCAACAACAACAACAACAACAACAACATTCAGCAATCATAATCAATGTAAACTCTCGAAATAAATCATAATACTTCATTAAAATCCCTAATAAGTACTTCAATTAATCAAGTTGTTGGCGAAATCGAGTACGAAACCACCATCAAAATATAATTCCTTACTTGCATGAAATAAGAAGAAAGATATTTGAAGAGTTTCTTCAAATTCGTGATGTAGTTGCTGTAAGAAGCAGCGGCGGCGGCCATCGGAAGAAGCAGCAGCGGCCATCGGGAGAAGCAGCGGCGGCGGCCATCGGAAGAAGCAGCAGCGGCCATGAGAAGCAGCGGCGGCGGCCATCGGGAGAAGCAGCGGCGGCGGCCATGGGAGAAGCAGCGGCGGCGGCCATCGGGAGAAGCAGCGGCGGCGGCCATCGGAAGTCGCCGTCACCGGACGCCGGTTAAGCGGTGGAAGCGATGGAGGAGAGGAGAGTGAAGGGGAAGAAGGAAGGTATGCGTATGAGGTTTTTGAGGGTAAAGTGGTAAAAAGTTTCTTGTTCTACTTAGTTCCATGGGTAAAGGGTGGACAACATTGTCCCACCCTTGTTCTAGTTTGTTCTAGTTAGTCCCACATAAAACCACACCAAACATAGGACAATTGTGTTCTGTCCTGTCCTGTCCCACCMTGTCCAACGTACCAAACGCACCCTAAGGGCTAGATCCGCCCTTGATATTGACCCATCACTACTTGGAACTACCCAAGCTGAGAAGTAAACTTCTTAATCCATACGGCTTCCTTAGCTACATTTGATGCTACAATGTACTATGCCTTTGTCATAGAATCTGCTAATGTGCTTTGTTTGGAATTCTTCCAATTCATGGCTATGTTATTCAAGCAAAACAGAAAACCTAATTGTGATCGAAAATCGTCCTTATCAATTTGGAAACATGGATTAGTCGAACTCTTTACAGTTAAGTATTCCTCCCTTTCGGATACCAAAAAGGTATTATTAGTATTTCTCAAATACTTTAGGATATTCTTGATGTTTATGTAGTGACTCTCACCCGAGTTGGACAAATATCTACTCATCATACTTAAAGCATACAATACATCCATCCTAAAACATATGATGGCATACATTATGGATCCAATTGCCAAAACATATAGAATCCTCTGCATGCACTCACATGCGGTAGGTGTTTTAGGACATCATGACTTAGAAAGTGTTAAGCATTGTGAAATAGGAATGAACCACTTCTTGCTCTATTCCATGTTGAATTATTTCAACACTTCGTCAATATATGTACTTTGATTTAGTCCAAGAAATTTCCTTGATCAATCTTAATAGATCCTAATGCCTAACATATAGGTTGTAATACCTTGATTTCTCCATTTCCACATTTTTATTAACATTGTAGAAGGGGTTGGACTATTTGTGGATTTCTAGTTTCTATAGGGGATCGATGTGTAAAATGGGGACCAATTAGTTAGAGGGAGCTCATTTCGTACGATTTCATCTTTGTGTAGTGTGTGAGGAGCAAACAATGGAGAAAAACCTCAACATACATGAAAAATGTTTTGAAAGTGGGGTTTTGGGTCCTTATAATAGTTTATTATGGTTAAAACCTTGTTAAAAGTGATTATGAACGGTTAGTTTGAGGTTAATTTACTATGGAAATCGGTGGATTTGAGTTTAAGCAAGCCAGGGCTAGAAATCACCCAACCCATGCACCACAGTGAGCTACGTGACCTGTGCCGTGAGTTGTGGTCACATGGGAAGTCGTGCAGAAGGGGGAACAGTAACTCCGTTGACGTATGTTATGACTTGAAGTTCAAGGCTTTTATTTAAGGGACTATTAGGAGGTTTATAATCGATAAATTTGGGGAATTAACATCTTATTCTTAAGGTCAATCAAGCGATAATTGGGTATTCGGTTTGATCTTCGAGTTGCATATTAGCATAAGCTTGGACCACAGGTGAGTTCTCTGTTCCATTTAATTCTCTTGCAAATGTAATGATTATATCGATCTTGATTTATGAAATGATCAACTATCATTGTACTCAGGTTGTTTTATAAATAGGAGACGATGTGAGGACACTAGTGGTGTTTTGGCATGTCTGTGTTTTTTTTTTTTTTTGAGGTCTTTAATTTTGTGTTCTCTGTTTTCTATACACAAAAAAAAAACTTTTTGTAGCATAGTCGGTCAAATTTACTATCTTTGGTAATTTGTCATTATTGATTATGTTATGGTTGACACATGAAGAAAAAAAACATGGGTTAAAGAAGAATCTTTGTAGAACTATTGTTTACCACAAAGTTTTTAGCAACATCTATCCCTTCCATGCTCGACTAAAGGTAACATTCCGTGAAATTTTTTTGTATTGCATTCCATTAGTTGTCAATTAACAAATCATGTTTTATATATTTTGTAAAAAGTGTTCGCCTCCGGGCAACGCCCGGTGTCACGCACTAGTTCCTACTATTTTGACGATGGTTATAAACTCATTTATAAACATAAATGATGAATGGTATCTGGTAACATTTCATCACTATCCAAGTAACTAGAAATATATGTAGATCTCCGATCTGCAATTTGTGATTTTTATCAGTGTTTATATTCACTCCCTTTCCCTTAGATGTTTGATTTGAACATGAAGGATGGGTGTTTCTACTTCAAAAGGATAGCACATTCTAAAGGGAGCTGCAAGTTGAAAAAAAGGCTTCCTACATCTCAATTTGAGCAATACTATAGAATTAAATAACAGATTCCACAAGAAGATAATCATCACTCCTTTTTGCTTAAAGATGGACAAAGAACTATCCAAATGAGCTTGTCATTGATGATCTAAATCACAGTGTATAGACAAGAAATGCTACATAGAGTAACTGCTTCTTTGTCAACTTCTTGTCCATCGTTGAACCTAAAAAGATTGATGAAGCTATAAAAGACCCAAGATGGATAAAAGTCGGTCAAGAAAAGCTCACAAAGTTTGAAAGAAACTTGGTCAAGTTCCATAAGGCAAGACCATGATAGGCACCAAATAGTTGTTCAGAATCAAAATGGACAAAAGTGGGTTTGTGGTGAGAAACAACGGAAGATTTGTGACTGGAGGGTATCTACAAGAGGAAGTCATAGACTATGATGAGACCTTTGCACCATTATCTAGACTTGAATCGATTCGTATCTTTCTGGCATATTTTATGCATAAATACTTCAAGGTCTTCCAAATGGAAGTGAACACTGCCTTTGTGAATGAATAACTTTATGAGGAAGTCTACATTTCGCAAGCTCCAGGATTTGAGGATCCTAAACATCTAGGGTATGTGTTCAAACTTGACAAGGCGTATCCTATATGAACTTATACAAGCATTTCAGGCCCGTTATGACACTGTATCACAATTCTTGATTGAAAGTGGTTGTCAAAGAAGTACAATTGGTAACAATTTATTTCTAAAAGGATATAAAGGTGAATATCGTTATGCAAATCTATGTGGATGCAATAGTATTTGGTTCTACAAATGTCAAATTATGTGAAAAGTTTTCAAAACTAATGCAGTGTAATCATGAGGCAGGTATGATGGAGAACTAATTCTTCAGGGTTTACAAGTAAAACAATCTTCAAATGACATATTAATGAGTCATGTTTAAATCAGAATAATCATAATACGATTTATCATCTAGGGGAACTTTTTCCACAAATGCCAACTCCGTGAAGCAACTAGCCTACAAACCCAACATTTTCTTTCATCCCTTCCCAATGATTATCTTTAATTTATTCAATTTATAGACTAAAACATTAGTGACATTTTTGTAATAATAGTAAAATGAACGTGTACTGTGTTGTGATGAACAATAGTGAACATGATAGAATTAGAAAAGATCAGGAACTTTTATTATGCACCGGTTTCAGTTCCTAAGAATCTCTCTTTCATCGTATTGAAACAAAAATCAATCATAATTTGTTTGTTCACTTATAAACGGCTTATTGTTTACCAATGGACATTTATATAAGTAACAGAAACCAGTAGTTACGAAAAACTAGTAGTTACGAAAATTGTTCACTAATGAATCTTTAATGGGTTATTTGTGTATTAATGTCTTTAGTTCACTAATGAACATTATTTGAACTGGGTTCACTAATGAACATATTCATCATTCAAAACAACATAAATGAAGAAATCATCAGAATCAATATGTTGAATGGTACTGTCTTCATTTTGATTATCCATCATTCAAATTAATTTGAATATAATCATTGAGAATTTTGAAAAGGATATATAAAAACAATCAATTATTTTTTTGTAACATCCAATCTGATACCATAAAGTAACTTACAAATGAAAATCATCTATATACTCTTAATCATTGACTCTAATATTTGAAATAATCATATGACTAAACAAAGATTCTAGTGGTCCAATGAGTCACCAAAGTAAACATTATTTTTTTGGTTAACAAAAGATCTGCAAGAATGAAATTACCTAATTCACTCTAAATGAACCTCTGGCATGTAGCCAAATCGGTAAAAGTAGACAGGTGAAGGGTTCGATCCCTCAAATAGTAAACTACTCATACCATATTATAAGTTTTTATAAAACTAAATTTTTATGTACTCCCGAGTCCCGAGTATTCATCGGTATACCCATTCTACCCATAAATATCGGTAAAATATAAGAAACACCCATGATTTCTTTTGTATTTAAAACTTGCATCAACTAATTTCGGTATATTTTGCCTGATCGAAAAGGCTTCTTGAGGTTCAATGTATGTGTGTTCTTCACACACAGCTAAGGTTAGCAACAGACTACAAACGAGCTAATTCTTAACTATCCACAACAATAATATTCTATTCACTTATACCCATTTTTCGAATTAGGTTCCAGTCTGTGCATGCACCCGAATACGCAGTTTTACTTGTAGACGTGCAGTTCTGTGAAAATGTGTGAACCAATTTGTTTGTTTATCTACAGCATTCCGAAAAAGACTACAAGAGTATGCATGTCTTTACCTGTCCTGAACCTGATGGTGTTCTTTGGAAACGCAAGGTCTACTCTGGGCAGATCTGACCGAACACTGGCAGTCTTTTTATTCTGCTGGGACCATAAACAGCCTTGGTTATGAGAGCCTCAACATCTTCCTTCGATGGGGTGTTATTGGTTGGTGCAGGAATCTCGATATCATCATCCAGAGGAGACCACTCGGTGCTTTTAAGGTTTACAGTGCTGGTGGCAGGTTCATCTAGTTTGATTGGTGAGATGGTCCGAGTAGTTGAAGTGGCGACTGTTTGAGATGGTGCTGCAGATGTTTCATGGTGAAGAAAATGGCACTTGGAGCCAAATGAACATGATCCTGAGACGTTATAATTCTTGCAAGGGGTCTATGCACATTTGGAATGAAAAAAACAGATAGATAGTTAGGTGCAGGGTATTATAATTCTTGCCTACTAGATTTTAGATGCAAGAGCTTCCACAAGTTGGGCTAACTGCAAAGCTTTTTGGCAAACTTATTGGCCACATAGGCTTGCAAAAAAGCCTCCTAAGAAAACCATTTTTTATTTGTGCAGTTACAAGCTAGGTTTTTCATGTGGGTCCCACTGTTTTTTGGGAAAAGCTTAATGGAAAAGCTATACCTTTGTGGATGCTCTCAAAGACGGATACAGCTAAAATTGTAGTTCAATTTTTACCTCTAGCGTGGTCCTGAAAGAAAATGGTGATGGGCGCAGCTCCTTGTTTCCGTGGGCAAACTGTACAAATGAAATGGTGATGTTATTGTGCTATATGATTCTATTTTCAAATTGCCACTAAAACGTTGGTTAACATGGTTTATTCGAAAAGGGAAGTCGCGAAAAATCACAGAAGACATAAGAGTAAAGTTTGCACTTTGACTTAAAGTCCAATGAAGTCGATCACCTAATCATAGAGCTGTATATACAGCTGTTTCATGGATCATTTAAGATTCAAAGTCGGGCATGAGTACAAAAAGAACAAAAAGGATCTGGAGGGGAACATTCCATTTCAAAGGCTCCGATGCAAATGGCTATCCTGTGGAGTAACAGTTGGCCTCAAAGACTTGGACTTTTTGTATGTTGAAATACTCTAATACACTGATGCACAGGCCCAAGAATGACTGATTTCAAGCTTTTTTATAGAACTTGTTTAGCGAAATCAGGGCATTGATTTGTATGGCTCACCTGATGCTACATTTAAAATTAAATCAGTTATGAAGTCCACCCAAATTTATAAACATAAAATTGATAAACTAGTGAATTAAGGATTACCAAGGCAAGTTAAAATATTTGTACTTTTTGATGGATTACAGTTACTTGAAACAGTATACTGTGTGATTGAGCATGCTAAAGGTTGATTAAGCAGCTCAAGTACATCCCATTTACATGTTCTTTCTTTAGCAAATGTAAATTTTAGAAAGAAAAATGCTTCAGATAGAATACATAATCACAAAGTTCAAATATTTTTTCCCAAGACACCCTGCATTTTCAGATTGCAGATTGAACATGAATAATGTGGTTCTATTGAAATACTTACTACCTAATTAAGCCAGGAAATATATTATTGAGATCCAAGACTTGAATGATTTTACTTTGATGTTGAAGATTATACTACCTGCTCATTAGTATTACCTTTTACTTATCACCTTTTTCCTGTTAGAAATTACCGTGCAGAGATAGAGGAAAAACCTGACATTTCAATCCATAGCGGCAGAAGCCAGAATTCTCCAAGTAAGACAGACAAAGGTCCATCTTATAGTCCTTACCACTGGAGGATGAAGAGACACCAGAATCTGTTAAAGACAATGACGACAAAGATCTACCTCTATCAACTGGTGGATTCTTCACAAGTACACCATCCATCACCAGAACATCTTCCTCCACCTTCACTGGAGTGTTGCTAAAAAGTAAAGGTGCCCTTGACTGACGTGGTGGCTCAAATCTTGATGAGCTTTCAGCACTCCGATGACTACTGCGGTGATACTTGTATCCAGCTGAAGGCAGATGATCCCCAGCAGACACGGGCGCCGTAAAAAGCGACCTAGCAGATTGCAAATATCTGAGGAATGGGGAATTCAAATCCTTTAAAACAGTAGTGTGGCCTTCAGGTGATGCATATGGATCTAGCATAGGACCTGTGTGATGATAGAAAGGATTTTGCGGTCCAAAGTTGTTTATAGATGACAGACTGCTGCGTTTAGGAACTTTTGAGTTGCTAATACCGTAGAGAGTATCCATCTGTAGCTAATTTTCAACAATCACAAATGCAGGTGTCAGTTTTTTTCAAAACAAACACGAATGATCAACAATTTCATGTATATGTATGCTCAAATCGTACTCGTAGATTATGAAACTATCAATTTATCACAAACTAAACTTGTAACCAAAAATTCGTTGCTGAACATGAAAATCAATAATTTTTACGCCTCAATAATGAAAGTATCAAATCGATACAAAAATTATGATGAACCGAACGTTTGAACTCCCGCCTAAATTTAAACTTGGAACGATCCTGCAAATACGCGATGAGAACATACTAGAACTCGATCGATTTGGTTTTGTCATATTTTGAAGCGTAAACTGCAATAGTAAAGTAAAATGAAGAGAAGTTAAGGAAAATTGAATTCAAATACCTGTGTAGATGATGCTTGGATGAAGATGTTCGGATCAGAGAAGCGTAGAGAGATGATGAAGTTGAAGGTAATGCGATGGAGTTGCAATGTGCGCATTAGGTGACCTCCTCCGCCATTGAAATGATCTCGAATATTGGCTCTGTAACCGAAGTCCGAAGACGACGGGAAGTGACGTGGAGTTTGTATTTGTATACATCTCCGAGTAGGCGAGGCGAGGCGAGCTCAAGAGTCCAAATACATGGTCTCGATTTACATTTATGCCCTTCAAATGTTTATGCTGTTCCAATAATACCCCTGATGTGATGTGGATGGACATTTTTGTGTGTATCACAAGTAGCAACAAAAAGAAGACGAGGTTTTAGAATGAGTTGATATAACACCTAAAACGACATAGTATACAATAATTTACCCGGTAAACGTTTGCCGTGATAAGAGTCATCGCCCTCAGTTACCTTAAATCAATATATTGAAAAATGATTTTAAACTCACAAAATCTAACAAGAAAATAGAGTTTTTGGTGTGGTTTGAGAGCAATAAAATTTAGTAAGAATGAATCTAACTGAAACTATCTTTTTAGTCGATAGCAGCATATGTTGTTTAGGGAAGTGCTTTGCATGAGTTTGAAGTCATGAAAGAGGCCATAAAATCGCCAACTTAACGAGGAAAGGTTGAATGAGTCGTGAATTGTGATGAAGGCAATCGTATGAATTAATGCTTGATTCGATACAAGAATTGTTTGTTAGATCGACCGATTAACCATGCTACAAAATAGAGGTGTGTGTTATAAGTATTTTTATGAAAGAAAAATGAAGGAAATTGAGAGGTTGATAGGCTTAGGATCGCCACGAAAGACCGAATAGTATGCATGTATATAAGTCATAACACCCAGCTTCTTTTAAGCTGATTCCAGCATATTACAATTTGAAATAAGTCATCCTGAGCACATAAATAAAATAAGCTCAGTAAAATACCACAATGCTTGCTTATCATACAACACGAATTAATTAAGGATTCAACCATTCAAGGCCTTTTATACACACATACAATTACTTCAACAAATCAAATACTTGCCTAAAAAATTCAAAATCTAATCAATGGTGGCATTCTTCAGGTTTCCTCCCAGCAACGACAGCAGCCCTCCGCCGTGGACCCGCCCTTCTGGAACCATAAACTCCATCCTCTTGCCGCCACTGCTTCCGTGATCACCACCGTCTCCTCCTTCCGAGCTCAACTGCATTGTAAACGATGATGAAAATGGTGACTTCATTGACGGAGGAACCAGCACCTGTGGCGGAATGAGGTGTTGCCGCCGCTTAGCCGGCTTCTCTAGCGACTCGATGGAATCCGAGATGATGCTGACACCGGATGAAGAATACGTGTTATCAAAGCTGCTAACAATGGTGGAACTCGGAGCCGGGACGAGCCCGTGGAAGAGTCCTGGTCCAATTCCGAAATTACCCTTCTTGTTTACATTCGCTTCACGTTCTTGAACCATGCTCGTATGAGCTGCACATAATCCGCTCTTCCCCCGAGCAAACTTCTCGCACGCCCCTTCACCTCCCCAATTGCACCGTTTTCCGCCGCCGTGAGCCTTACAAAAGTCCGTGCTACCTTGTGCGCTCTTGGTACAATTCTCGGTTTTGCACCGCTTTCCACCACCATGCTTCACGCAGCAATCGGTCCGGCCACGGGCGCTTTTGGTACAACCGGGGACGGAACACCTCTTGCCACCGCCATGAGCAACGCAGAAGTTGGTCCCTCCGTGCACACTTTTCGGGCAAATCCCGCCACCGTCGTAGAGGCACCGCTTTCCTCCGCCATGGGCTTTACAAAGTGGGGTGCTACCTTCAGCACCTTTGGTACAGCCAGCGAATACGCAACGTTTCCCACCACCATGAGCTTTGCAGTACATAGTGCTTCCCTGAGCCCCTTTATTACAGCCTTGGAACTGGCACCGCCGTCCGCCGCCATGAGAGATGCACAAACCAACCTGTCCTTCGGCACTACGTGTGCAACCGTCCACCTTACACCGCTTTCCACCACCGTGCTTGATACAAAGTCCTGATTTTCCCCTAGCGGCTTTACTGCACCCTGACGGATGCCCACACCGCCTCCCGCCACCATGTGCTATGCAATATTCTGTCCTACCTTCTGCACTTTTTGTGCAGCCTAGATGCTGGCACCGCCTCCCGCCGCCATGAGCCTTGCAGTATGCAGTTCTGCTCTCCGCACCTTTACTACACCCCGGTTTCTGGCATCTCTGCCCTCCACCATGGCCGATACAGAGACCTGTTGCTCCTCTAGCGCCTTTTGTGCACCCATCAAACTTGCATTTCTTAGAATTGCTCGTTTGGTGGTCGGATGTTGTTCCCATGGAGTAGTCTGAGATAGCCGAGGGTTCAGAGCTTAGCTGAGGGCCATGATTAGAGTTTTCCCCTGGCTCCAAAAGGTTGTGCATTTGCATCAAGCTTCTGGTTGTAGTACTCATTCTTGGGGCCAGAAGAAGGGATGGCATGTATCCACCTGATTTCTTTGCTGATGTAGAACCCTCATCAATAGGTATCTCAAACCTATTGCTAGCCTCAAAAGATCCTTTGTGAGAATGACATGATGGATTTGGATTTGGATTTGGAATTGGAATTGGATCGCTCATTGACATAAAAGAATGGTCAGAGAGACCAAGTTTGAGGACCGAATCACCCTCACACGACAACCCCATATTGGATCCAGGGGCTGGTTTTTTGCTTGAGTTGATTCCAGTGGAAAAATAATCATTAGAATATATACTCGGTGTTGGTCCCAATCCGAGGACCAGTCTGCAACCATCATCGGGTGCACTAGTTGTATTCTGTTCTCTTGGTTTTTCTCGGCTAATTTCATATCCACTAGATGTGTTTCCACCATAACCAAAGCAGTCCAAGCTTAATGTGGTATCACCAACGTGGTAAGTTTTATTCAGCTCAGCATTACAAGAAACAAGTGCAAGACCATTGTTGAGATCCATTTTTGGGTTACTATATACCATTTTGTGAATGAAAGGGGTTTGGCTAAGTTTTTTAGGGAAATTGTATCACATCTATAAAGATCTATATATCAAGATAAACAGAAATAGAGAAGTTTCCAATAGGCTAGCTCCACCACTCACAAAGCCAGACGTATCTGACCTGTCCATTCAGTTGTCGGTTGCCAACAAAGGTGTGCACCCTATCCTGTTATGCAGACGCCTCGGCTGGGAGGTATATCTGATAACATTTCTGGGATAAAAGCCAATTACAGGGTCGACAAAGATGGGGGTGCTGAGATTGGCAAACTCTCTATTCCTCCTAACTGACAAATCTTTAAGCTTCATTCACCTGCAATTAAAGGAACAGAAACACATAAACACCAAACGAAAGCTTTTCTCTTCTAGAGTTTACTTGCATTGTAAAGTTTTAGAAAACGAATTGAACCAAATTCACACAAAGGCACTGAATTAGATCAAATACGAGACAAATAAATATTTGGTGTATACATGAATTTGGACTACAAACATCTAATTATTCACTGATCTGCGGAGATAAACATGTCGTGCAAAAAATCAACCAAGGACACGTCTGAACTTGTAAACGCAAGCAATCATGTGTCGGTAGCAAATGTGTTTGATAAATTATTACATAGATCGTAGCATTTTATCAAAATATTAACATCAAAAAATCATTTTCTACCCAAAAAAAGGCATATGTAGTGTGCTGTATGGCATCTTGCTTGATGTTAACGGTTCAAAGAAAGTATCAAAGTAAATGAATGAACGGAAAATTACAGAACTCCAACACCATAGCATTGAATTATAATCTAGTTCAAGATTTGAGCTGATTTTGCTACAATTTTGATTTAAAGTCTCAAATTTAATGCTCACAAATCATCTTCTCGTTAGATTCAATTAAAACCTCAGCAAAACCCATAGCAACATCCCTATCCTCTCTCTTCTTCATGGTTTACAAACACAAAATCTCAAAATTCATCAATCTATTCTGAATCCCATAGAAATTAATGCTAAATCAATTAAATAAAAAGAAAAAAAAAACAACTGAAACGTTAAAACATATATTATATGGCCATATACAAACAATATACGGGCCAACAGTTCAGCATCAAGCACATGATGTTATCATGTAGATGATGACAAAATTTGTGGGGGCTAAAAGATGAACAAAGTCGATTTATCAAGCAACCACAAATTCGGGAGAAAAAACCAACCAAATAATAATAACACGAAAATCAGTTATCTCAGTCTCTAATCCTTTGATAAACTTTAACGAAAACCTAGCTAATTAACAAACTATTAACCAATATAAGGACCCCAAGTTCAAGGAAACAAATTACAAGAACAAAAATTAGGTAAACCCTAGGAGAATCAAAAATCAAATCGTAGAAGAAGATAAACAAGAAGTTATCATATGATCAGTAATGGAACTTGTTCTACTTCTACACCTGAGAAAATACATATATTACCATAATAAATGTATGGAATTGAAAAGCTGAAGAAAAGTATACCTCAAGATGCAAAATCAGGCAAACTTAGCAGATCTAAGAAGCCATTTAAGACATCAGAATCTACCCAAGAACAACAATTGACAGATATAGAAAATTGATTGAAACAAGTTTTAGAGAGAGAAAGAGGAGAGAGAGAGGAGAGGAGGAGAGAAGAGGAGAGAGGATGTTTGCTCAAGTGAAATAATAATTTGGTAATGAAGTGAAAAATAGAGCCCAAATTGAAGAGAATATCTATACAAGAAATTACTTATTTAGTCCTTTCTCTTTAAATAAATTACACATTTGGTCCTCGACATGATTTTGAGTACTTTAGCTTCCACATACATTCATTACATTATTTCGAATCTTTACATTTTATTTTCTTATTACGAAATATATTTTAGATGATTATTTAGAAGTTCGTTTACCAAATATTTTTCAAGTAGGCGTTTACCAGCTAGGGGTGTTTGCGGTGGTTTGGTACGATTAAGGGTTAAAATGCACCACATATGCCTCAAACCGTAAAAAATCTGCTTACGGTGGTATGGTACAGTGTGGACGCTTTTGTGCAGTTTAGATGAACACCCTTATTATCAGCAAAAGTCCAACACCTTCACTTACCTTGTTGGATAATCTTAAGGTCAACAAAATGAATCGTTTGTAAACACTAACCTAGGTAATAGTCATATATCTCACTAACCAGCTAAGAACATCGGTTCTTGTAAAGTCTCTTACTGGGTAAAATTTTCAATCATTATAATGCTCATCCTGTAAACGTTCATCTGATAAACATTTAGTAAATGGCCCATAATATTCAAACGCTCCTAGTTGATTAAGTATCAAATCAAATGTAGATATGTATTGAGATAAATAGTGTATTCAACGACTCATTTTCTATGGTTAACACACAATTCATGAAAAAGTCCAAAATTATGTACACGTTATGGATTTTGCAGTTTCAGTTTGGTACTTTGGTGTACCATTGCTACTAGATTTTAATGATTGATTGACTTTCTTCAAATTTCTTTATATTATTTTATGGGCCTTTAATTTTGTGATGTTATACAAACTTTTTTTTGTTAGGGAACATTTCGGGTATTCTTTTAAATCATAATAAAATGAATTTACAGATACTGATTTAGAGAAAAGAACAGGTAATCTCGAGGACAGATGGAGTTACTAATTTAACAAGTGTGGCAAAGCTTTCAGCATACATAGTTTCAATAGAGTTTTATGATCATAGAGAGATGAAACTTTGAATGATGGAAATAACTGAAATTACGTTTGACATCATATTGAATTCTCGGTTCAAAGCATATGAATATAGTATGGAAACAATATGTCATTTCTTCGGTTTAATAGGCAAGTAAGAACTACCAGCTCTCTTATAAAAACAGTTCATATCAATATATTTAAGCAAATTATACAGATTATTTTCAATAATTTTAAATCAGACGATTAAAATATACTTATTAAATTATGATCTTCATGATCTACAAAGTCATCTCTTTAAGGGACTAAAAATATAAAAAATTGTACTTGAAGGGCCAAATATACCCTCTTTCAAATAGTACAAGGACCAAAAAGGAAAATATGTTTTTCAATATTTAATACAAAATAATTATTTGGGGTATGCAACACATTGCACATTCCACTTCTATTATTGGACAAATTACCGAAAATACCCCACGATGTACAACTGTCTTTTGGATCGTTTGGAGGGTAGACGACGCCGGATCGTTTGATTACTTTTTAGCGACAGCGACGTTGTTTTATTTGAATGACTATATTACCCCTATAGTGTGGGGATGGTTGATGAGTAGTGGATGGGTGAAATGGTGATTTAGCCTTGGGGGATGATGCAAGATGGGGTATTGGGAATTAGTGGACGTGGTGAACCGATGACGTGGCAACCCCGTGCCAACAACCAATTAAAAGTGCATAGCTCAATGTCTATTGTCTGTACTTTCTGGGGCTTCGAGCCGCCACTTACTTGGAGCCGTTCCTTACTGAAGGCGGCTAGCCGACTGGAATAAGCCTGTTCACTGGAGCTGGAAGTGGAAGTGTGTTTGTGTTTCTTTCATGCTCCCTCAGTCCCACCTGAGAAAAAAAAAGTGAATTTCTTTTTATTTTTTATAAATATTTTAAAAACTACAATATAATAGAAATTTTGATAATTTATGAAAATTAAAATATAATATTACAAGTCAAAATTAAAAAAAAAAATAAATCTAAATCCAACAACTATTTT